GATTATTGAACAGAGAAAACAAGAATTGGATGTGTCTTGTGAACTTGCATGTATTGAGATGCTTAATATATTAAAAGAACCTAATATAGTAATTCTTTATAGCAATTCAACAGAAGATTTTAAAACTTCAAAACATTGGATATCTGTATTTATGAAAAGATATCAATTGTCTTGGTAACGATGTACTAAGGTTTTACAAAAGCTTTCTTCAGAAACTGACGAATTATTGAAGAAATTTTATCAATTTGTTATTCATCTTAGAAAAAGGAAGTTTTTTAAATTATCTAATATCCTTAATATGAATGAAACTCCTGTTTGGTTTGATATGATTGGAAATTTTACTATTGATCGTAAAGATGAAAAATGATTCATATTTGTGAAACAAACAATGACAAAAATCGATTTACAGTTGTTCTAACATGTGCTGCAGGTAGAATTTTTTTTTTTATAATATTCTTTATATATATACTGTTTTTTTAAATAATATTTTACCTACTGTATTTTTTTATTTAGATAGAACAAAGTTTCTACCAATTTGTATTTTCAAAGGTAAACAATTACCACGTGGTAAAAAAATTCCATCTGGTATAATCGTTTGGTTTCAAGATAATGGATAGATGAATTTCGACTTGATGATCTAATATATTAATTATATTACTGACACACAAACTAATAATGAATATAAAGGTTTAATGATAATAGTATATGATTCTTTTAAAGGACACTTAGAAGATTCAGTTAAAGAAAAATTTCGTAACAGTAGTATTGATTTAGTAGTTATTCTAGATGGCTTGACCAGCATTTGTCAACCACTTGATATTGCAATTAATAAGCCATTTAAAGACAATCTTCATAAAGAGTGGCATCTTTGGATGGCAAAAGGTGGTGCCGGAAAAACTTTAGCTAGAAATTTTAAATGTGCTAAAATAAGTAATATATGCGGGTGGGTGACAAATTCTTGGGAACAAATACCAGATGATGTTATTATTAAATTCTTTGTAAAATGTGGTATCTCAAATAACTTAAATGAAAATAATGATGCCGATAGTAGCAAATTAGAGGATTTTAATAATATATATGAGAATGACAATATTGAAATCGTAGATATTAGTAAAGACAATGAAATCATAAATATTAATGAGGACAATGAAATCATAGATATTGATAATGACGATAAAATCATAGATATTATAAATATTAGAGACAATGATATGGAAATGACAGATATTATTGATGATAATGAAGTTATGAACATTAGCGATATTATTAAATTTATGAATATTAGTGATTGAAATTAATTACGAGTTGTATAACATAGTTGTATAATTTAATTGAATAATTTAAATAAATAAATTGAATAATTTAAAATAAATTGAATAATTTAAAATAAATTGAATAATTTAAATAAATAATAAATTAAATCTATTAATGCAAAGTTAGAAATGCAAAAACAATATAAAAACACAGGGTGCTTATTTTCAAGTATTTTACAAAATTTGGTGGTGCTTAATTTCGAGGGTGCTTAATTTCAGAACTATATGGTACTAAGAATTCATTGTTTATTATGCTTGATACGTAAAAAATACAAAAGTAATTCTTGAATGTCCTTTATCAATGGTAAATTTTTGAATAAAAAAAGATAGTTTGTATAGTAACGTTTAAAAATTTACCTCTGATCCGTTTTTGAAAAGTTGAGTTTTTTTTAAAAAAAAGCAATTAATATACATACAAATATATATTTGGATTGAAGTTTAGTAAAGTTTTGTACAAAATATCATGGGTCACCCATCGGGTGACCCATCTGTTTCCACCCAGGTGGCCAAAACTCTATCCGGGTTATCTGTCCACCTGCAGATGAGCCAAGTGGCACCTACCTGGGTCCAATTACTACTTTGAATTCTTTGAAGAGATGTAATTTTTAATAAATTTAAGAATAAAAAAGTGATAGTAAAAACACGCATTAATATATTTTAAAGAAATTATTTATTGATAACTGATAACAGTATGTACTATATGTTAGTACTTAAGATATGTGCATATATTTCAGTTTATAATAGTTAAACACTTTGAAAAATACTTGAAATATATTAATTATGATGTTTTCAATAATCATTGAATAGTTTTGAGCATGAAAAATTCAACTTATTATAATCTAAGAGATTTTTAGACCCAGATTTGGTTGATATTTGATTCAACAGATATTATTGTATACAACTTTAATTGATTATAGATACTTTCTTAATGTATAATAGTTGTGTATGTGAAGTATATACACTCCCCTGACAGTAATTACCAGAATTTAATAATTACGAGGATCTAATCTGATTTGGTAATAATCATAGCTATTTATAAAAACAATTTTTTTCATATTGTTATATTAGCAGATTTTTTACTTTTTATTATTATTATTTTTTATTTTATTTTATTATATTTTATTTTATGTAATATTAGGGTTATTAGGACGTGTTGATATTATAAAATATGTTAAGAATTTTATCTCTAGCAGATTCAGAAGACCCTGACAATCGAAACAAGCTACAGTACATCATGATCGGCTAGATAGATAGCCAGATAATCGATAAACAAGGTATTGGAAGATCTAATACTATTTTCATTTTGTCATATAGTTTTTATTCTGTTATTATTTTTGTCTATTATTTTGTCATACAGTTTTTATTTTGTTATTATTTTTGTACTTTATTTTGTCATACTGGAAGATCTGATTAACAAGATAGCCAACAGATCTAATACTATTTTCATTTTGTCATATAGTTTTTATTCTGTTATTATTTTTGTCTGTTATTTTGTCATACAGTTTTTATTCTGTTATTATTTTTGTCTGTTATTTTGTCATACAGTTTTCATTCTATTATTATTTTTGTTTCTTTTCTGTTATACAATTTTCATTCTGTTGTACTATTTTTACTTTGCACTATTTTTACTTTGTACTATTTTTACTTTGTACTATTTTTACTTTGTTCTATTTTTACTCTGTTGTATGGGGTTTAAATGATATATAAACCCTGCCTTTTCTCCTTAGGCAAGACAGGTTTTTCTAACTTCACTTTAAGGTTTTTTGGGATATAAAAATATTTCTTTTTGGACTCTTCTATATTGAATAAAAATATTATACTCTTGCTCTAAAAGTTTCTTTGGAATATACTCATTGTATTAAGTGTTTTTATTATTATTTTTTTTTTCTTTATTTTTGTTTTTATTTTGTTTTTATTTTGTTCTTTTGTTTTCTCTTTCTGTTTATTCACATTTCTTACTCTTGGCATGTTATCAAGTAGTATAGTTACTGCCATAAAGTAACTATATTACTACAGTTTGGCAACAATGCTTTAAAAATCTCTGTGCTATCTGTGATTTCTTTTTTGAGTTAAAATTATAAGTTAGATATATATATATACATTCTTTTTTATATTAAATTTTTTTTAGTTTCTTTCTTGTTCTTTCTTTTTCTTCTTTTTTGTTTTTTTCTGTTTTTTTTTGTTCTTTTTATTTTCTTTTACTTTTTATTTGTTAGTTTTTCTTTTTTGTGTAATTTTGTTTTTGCTAATCATCTTCTTGTTACACATAGCACCATTGTACTACCTCAAAAACTATTGTTATATTTTTTATATATCATAGTTTTTGTAACAACCAGGTGATTTCAAAAATT